CACTGGATTAGGGCCTAGCCTAATCCAGTATGACATCATTTTAACGTGATCACATCTGCAAAGTAAGGTCACATTCTGAGGTTCCGGGTAGATATAAATTGGGGGGGAATATTATTTAACTCATTACTGCTGTTGAGCTAGGACTCACTGAGGACAGAGAAGTAACAAAGGGCAAGGGAATATTTAACCTTGTAATTAAGTACATGCTATGGAATCAGACAGACTTGGTTTCTAATCCTGGTTCTACCTGCTGGTCAGCCGTGTGAACTTGGGCAAGTTACTCAACATCTCTAAGCCTGTTTTCTCAGGTATTAAGCCTTCATTGCTCAGGAGCTATGTAAAGGGCTTAATGCCCTTCGGGTTGCTGGGTTGAAATAAGCAAGATCAGCTCCTGGCATGCTTAGTCCAAGGCCTTATTTTTTTTTTTTAAATTAGCTTTTTAATGCTAGAGTCCCTACTTCCACTGCTCCTGCTTTCTTTCAGGAAAGAATGTAGACAGTGAAATCTCCAAACAGGATAGTTTATGATTAAAGGCCCTGAGGCCTGGTACAAGATGTACCTGCCACAGGAGGTCAGAGAGCACAGGGTAGATGGAATTCAACTTTTAATAATAAACAGATGCAAACTTAGTGCTCTAAACTGAAACTCTGCAGCTAAGCCATATTAATTTCTCTCTCACCTTCTCCCAGGGTGTATTTCTAGAGTTTATCATTGAGGCCTCCATAGTATAACCAGAGCAGACAACTCCTATTTCCCCCTCTGTTCTAGCTCCCACGGCTGAGGCCACACTCTCCCAATGCACTTAACCATCAGGACATTAGAGAGAGGCCATAGCGTCCATTCAGGTGGACCTGGCCTCCCATTGTCTAGGCTGCCCGCAGTGGAAAGGTCTCCTTGGGAGGTGGTGGCAAGTGAACCTGTGCATGGCCTTGTATATTCATCTCTGATGACATCTTGGAGACAAACCAGAACAACTTCAGCTAATCAGAATTTTGCATGGGTTGGGGAGAACTAGCTGTTCTCCGATAGCAGCTCATGTGTTCCATCAGAAATGGATTAAATCATGCAGAGACTGAAATCTTTGGGGTGCTATTTTCTTTGAGAGCTCACCACCATAGCTGGGCTTGAGCCCCCTCTCTGGGACCTGCGCTGTGCATCGGCCAGGCCTGTCCACGTCATTGATAGGGCTGACTGCCGTCTTCCACAGCACCTGCAGCCGCCTTGTTTCCTAGACGCTGAGAAAAATTATGTGCGCACAGCTTTGGTTCTGAGTTGTAGCTTTTTAAATGTTTTCCTTGGTGGCGAGTAGAACTAAGTCCATTGACTCACTTATTACATATATTTTTTTAGAGAGAGGGGAAGGGAGGGAGAAAGAGAAGGAGAGAAACATCAACATGAGAGGAAAACCTCGATCGGTTGCCTCTCGCACACGCCCTGACCGGAGACCGAATCGGCAACTGAGACAGGTGCCCTGACCGGGAATCCAACCAGCGACCTTTCGCTTTGCGGAACGATGCCCAACCAAGCCACGCGGTTCAAGGTGAGTCACATATCATATTTACTGAGTGCCTGGTTAACAGCATGGGCTCTAGGACCAGTGGAGTAAATTCATCCCATCTCTGTAAATCATGAGTTTTTGTGACACGGAGCAAGTTACTTAGCATCTCTCAACCTTAATTGTTTCGTCTCTAAAGGGAGAATCATACTAATACCTACCCATACAGCGGCTGGCTGAGGGGATGTTTCCAGACTTGGGTCCTCGGGAAGCTGACTGTGAGACAGAAGTGAGCAAGCAGGACTTTGAGGGAATTCTCTTAACAGCAAAACCAGTAAAATGGAGAGCAGGAGGCCGGAATGGGCAGCAGGGAAGCTGAGCTGCGTCGCAGTGCCAAAGAAAGCAGCAGCCAACCCCAGAGGGCGCTCTGGAGCTGGGAGAGCAAGGGAGCCAGATTCTCAGTTGGACCAAAAGGACAGGGCCATTGTGCCAGAGGGCCAGTGTAGATCAGTCACTGGATGCAGGTTCCACAGGAAGTTGAGACCTTGGCTAAGGCAGTTTTCTTCAACTGAGCCAACCTCCACACGACAGCTGAGATTTGTGTTCCCGCAGTGTTTCCAGCATCTGGGTGAATAAGTCCTTCATTGCTCAAAGGGGATCACAGCCTCCACCACAAAGATTAAATGAGATAATCCACATAAAGTAACTGATAATCCATAACACAGTACTTGGCATGCAGTAAATGATTAATAAATGGTAGCCATTACAATTGTTGTTGTTCTAACTTATTTACCAGGCATTGTGCCAGAGGCTGGGGACACAGTGGCAATCAAGATTCTTCTGTTCTCAAGAAACTCAATCCATAAGCTAATCAGATCCTCAAATAAGCTATTGCAAGGCAGTACGCTTAACAGGGTGGCCCAGGATTTGCATGGGGGCATCAAGAAGGGGGACATGACCCAGACTAGGAAGGTGAGAGAGAGTGATGTTGAAGGTGATGCCTGGACATGAAGAGGAGTCAGCCAGGCAAAGGCCGTGGGAGGCGTGGTGGGTAGGGGAGCAGGTGGAGGAAGCAGCGTGTGTAGACAAGAGGAAGCACAGTGCGTGCAGGATGCAGTTTAGTAGGGCCAGCACGGGGTGTGCTCCAGGGAGAGGGGAGGAAGGGTCTCATGCACACCAGGCCAAGAGCATGGACTTGGATATAGAGCAGGCAACACAAGCCATTAATACATTCTAACCAGAGAAAGCACAATGCCCATTTGTGCTTGAAAACGTCAGTCAGCTGCCATGGCAGCAATGGATAGGACCTGGACAAGATTAGAAGCTGTTGCCAGGTCCAGGTGAGGGATAAGGGTAACTTGGACAAGGCTGGTGGCACCGAAGGAGGAGAGAGCAGTGTCAAAAAAATATTGAGGAAGTAGAATCTACAGACTTGGTGATGATTGGATGGGAAGAGAAAAACAAAAATCCAGGGTCCTGTTTAAGTTTCTGATCTGGGAAAATGAACTCTGGAAGGCCTGGTATCTTAGTCCAATCAGGCTGCTATAGCAGAATACCACAGACTGGGTGGCTTAGGAACAACAGAAATGTATTTCTCCCAGTTCTGGAGGCTGGGAAGTCTGAGATCATGGCACCAGTGGACTCAGTGTCTGCTGAGGTCCCCACATCCCAGTTCATAGATGGCTGTCCCCTCACTCTGTCCTCATGTGGTGGAAGGGGCGAGGGAGCTCTCTGACTTTTTTTTTATAGGGCACTGCTCCCCTGTGCGAGGGCTGGACCTCCTAAAAGCCCCACCTCCTAATACCATCACATTGGGGAATAGGTTTCAACATAAAAATTTTGAGAGGACACAAACATGCAGTCTACTGAACTTAGGAAACGAGTGTCCTAAGGACTAGAGAGAAAAAAAAAATCTGTTAAGGACAGACATGCTCCTCCTTATTCAGCACCTGCCAGCTCTCCAAGGCTTATGGCTGCATGCTGGACAAACCCATTTGAAGCCCCTGGGGGAGTACAGCTCTCAGAATCTCAGATGCAGCAAAATTAACCCCAGAGGAACCTACTTCCTGCCCGCTTTTGTCTGGGAGGGAGGAAGGGTGGGGAGGCCCAGCAAAGGATGTTCTCAGTGTTGTCGTTGTAGTGGGAAGCAAAGAAGATAGAAATAAAAAACTCACTTTGGAGTCAATCTTTGGTACACATCCGTATTTATTGAGTATGGGCTCCGGGCCCAGCCCTGTGTTCAGGGCTTTAGATATAGGGAAGAATAAGATAGATACTGACCAGTGAACTTGAGGGTCCACCTCTTTCAATAATAATACTTCTTATGGTAAATTAGTGCACTGGCATTTGGGTTTATGCATCAGTCTCTTGTGGGTTTGGTGATCTGAGTCAGTCCCTGGGGCTTAACCACCTCTGTATTTTTGCAAAACTGAGTGTTGGGACTTCAGGGCTGATGAGTAGACCTATGTGAATGGGAATCATGCCACTGGAAATGATCTGCACGCCTCTCTAGCATCTGCTCCAAAAGGGGTAATTTGAGGTTACTGTTAGAGACAAGAGGTGTTGTCTCTGAGGCTTCCAGCATAGTCTCTGAATTTGAGTTGGAAAATTGAGCCCACTTATCAGTCCAAGGCAACTTCTCAAATGTTTCTGGGGATGAGAATGAGCCTAGGGATCTAAAATGGAACCTCCCATTCTTCCTCTGAGGGCATATTCCCCCTCCCTCAACCCTGTGCTTGGTTGAGGTTACAAGACCAACCACCACTGAATCAACCACAAAAAAAAATTTTTTTCATTTCAATTTGGTCCTTACTTCTCAAATGGAGGTCAAGGTTTAACATAGCGAGAACCTCTGCCATAAAAAGGACCAAAACCCAAAAGAATGTGAAACCTTTACAGTCGTTTGCTGCAATGATAGTTTCTATGACTGAGACACAAGGTTCAGGAGTGTAAAGCCATGTGCTGCTGCAATCTTTCATTCTTCTAGGTTTCAAAAGGAAGGCAGGTGAATTTCCATTTGCACTTCCATTTTCCCCCTGAGTTCTTCAGTGTCAGATCAACATTCCAGAACCCACAAGAAAAAACAAAGTGATTAAAACGTACCGAGACACACCAGTATTCCGATTATCACTACAAGAGGGAGCAAACAGGGTAGAGGTTGGGCGAAACTCGTTTAAAACCAGCGACTTTAAAGGTTAACAATGACTTTGTTTTTACACGCAGGAGTCGCCGCCAGCACGCCGCGCGCGGACTCCAGTCCCGGGAATGCCCGCGCGGCTCCAAGAAGAGGGAACCAGTCTGAAAACCGAAACCGGTCTGGGACACACAGACGACGCCCGCAGCCGCAGGCGGATCTCGCGGGTGCATCCCGGCCCCCGCCCCGCTCACCGCCGGGCAGCCCGGGCGAGGTGCAAGGAGGGAGAAGTGGAGGAGGGGCGGCCGCGCGGAGGCCCCGCCCCGCCCCGCCCCGCCGGGCCACGATTATAGCCGATGACTCAGGGCGGAGCTCCGCTTCCAATCCGCGCCGCCGCCAACTTCTCTGGATGGGACCAGAAGTTTCTAGCCGGCCAGTTGCTACCTCCCTTTATCTCCTCCTTTCCCCTTTGGCAGCGAGGAAGCTATTTCCAGACACTTCCACCCCTCTCGGGCCACGTCACCCCCTCCTTTAATTCATAAAGGTGCCCAGCTCCGGCTTCCCGGACACGTCGGCGGCGCGTACGGCTCTTGCTCCGGCCGCGGCCCGCGAGCGACTCGGCGCCTTGAGGCCCCGCACCCCGTGACCCGGCACCCCACGACACCGCACCCCGCCGGCCTCCTCTCCGGGCCGACTGCGAGCCAGCATGAGCGCTGCCACCCACTCACCAATGGTGCAGACGGCATCCGGCAACAGCGCGGGTGACCGCGACCCCCTGCCCCCCGGTTGGGAGATCAAGATCGACCCGCAGACCGGCTGGCCCTTCTTCGTGGATCACAACAGCCGCACCACGACGTGGAACGACCCGCGCGTGCCCCCCGAGGGCCCTAAGGTGAGCCAGGCCCCCCATCTCGACGGCGAGCGGCGGGGCAGGGCGTGGGAGTGGGGGGCGTACAGCTGGGCCGGGCTGGGCTGCGGGGACGTGAGGCGCCAGGTGCCCGCCGCACCCCACGCCCCAGCCCCGGAGGTCGGTGAAGGCCACCAGGGGCGCCTGGACCTCCGGGCGGCACCAGCTCCCGGGGGTCGGCCTGTTGGGCCCCTACGGGTCCCCTCCCTGGGCCGCAGGGGGTTTCTGGGGGTCGACCTGGGAAGCACGATTCGTGCGGTGGCTCCAGGTCCCCTGCATCGGCTCGGTTCGAGGGGCCGAGGGCCGGGTGGCTGGAGCTAGCCTGGGCTCCGCGAGGGACAGCCGGCCTGGTCAGCACCCGAGGCCCGGGCCAGGCCCAGTCGCAGCCCAGCTTCCCGGGGCGAGATCCTGGTTTCACTCTGCTGAGCGCGCTTCGCCTGGCGCCAGGGTACATTGGGAAGCTTGGGTGGTGGTCTCAGGAGTTTGAGCTCCCACTGTACCTCACTCAGCTTGCTTGAGGGGTACCTTGACTTTACTATCCTGTCTCAGGCAGAGTGACTCAGGAGACTCATGTAGATAACATTCTTTTGTTTTCTTTCCTGTTTATATTTGGAATTAAAATTGTATTGTCTGAAGCTGTTTCCAGTGGGAATCTATTCTAGCATGACTTGTTAAAAACAAGATTCTCTTCTTCCAGGCAGTTTCTCAACTAAAGATGTGAGACTGTTTTATGATTGGCCATCGCCTTACCACATTGCCTCACACTGGCTAGAAAGAAAAATTTTTAAATGGCATACATTCCCTTCCTTGTTATGGTATTAAAAAGTCTAGGATTTGTTTTTAATATACAAATAACTGAGCAGTAATACTTTTGTGAATACAGCAGAAATAAGTTTTATTTACATATATGTATGGGTATATATACTTAACCCTTAGGAGCCCGAGATTTGAAAATAAAAATGTGAACTGAGTTCACTAATCAAAAAAATTATAACTAATTGTACAGTTATTATAATTTTTTATAAATTTGGGCTTTTTCAAAAGGAAGTATACTTGTAGGGTAACAGCTCAGGTTTTCTGGGCAAAATGAAAATAAAAGCCAGGAAGAGGCCTTGGCCAGGTCGTTCAGTTGGTTAGAGCATCCTCCTCCTGCACCGAGGTTGTGGGGTTTGATCCCAGGTCAGGACACACACAAGAAGCAACTAATGAATCCATAAATAAATGGAATAACAAATTGATGTCTCTCTTTCTCTCTCTCAAATCAATTAAAAAAAAAAGAGTTGTAAAGAACTAGTAAGTTATTTTGAAGACATAAAAATTCACAAAATTAAAAATGGTTATTAATTTAGGAGACTTATATTATCCACCTTCATTTTATGAAGTTTCTTTTTCTTTAAAATATTGATAAAACTCTGGTGCCCAATCTTGAGACATTGAACATTCAGCAATGTACATTTATAAGAAATTAATTATATATTTATTTCTGAAAATTTGTGGAAGTAGCTGTAATTAGTACAAGAGGCATAAATTATACATTTTTGTGTGTGTATCCAGTCTATTATTGGGTAAAACTAAAGCTTATTTCCAACCAACCCTGTTACTGCAGCCTGTGTGGATGTAGATCTTTAGTGTGGTTTAAAAAAAAAAAAGAAGGAAAGAAACAATCATTTTGAGGCTTCCTTCCTATAGAGAGAGGGACAGTCAGAAGCTCCTGGCACCTTTTGTTGTGAGTGAAGGTCAAGTTTGAACATATCCACGCAGTGTGTGGTATACCACGCAGATCACCAGCACTTTGTTTTCTATGTGAAACTCACCTGGCAAGTTGCGATCTTTGTGCACCCATCCAGTGGATGGATGTGTTAGGTTGTGGTTTCATAAAGGTGGAAAAAAACAGGTTGAATTACTGTTACTCTCAACAAAAGGAAAATAAAAGCATCTAAATCAGAAATCTGATGCTGGAAAAGTTTATTTGAAAATTCAAGTCAGAATTTTAAAGTTGACAGAACCTTAGAGATCTTTTAGCTCAGCCTCTTTATTATACTGAGAAAGAAACTCAGAGACTCAAAGTGAGTTTCCAGAGGTCATTCAGCCAGTGCTAGTAGCAAAGAGAGAACCACACCAGAAAGTTCTAAGAAGAGGCAGTGTATCTGTTAAGAAGGTAGAGGCATCTTGAATTTCTATGAAACTGTGCAGTGTGTGGGCTGGAATATTTGATTGTTTTTGTGTCCTCTTGGCCACCAACTATTGGGTGTCTGATTTCTGTGCTGTGATTACTTGAGTGGTGATGGCTGGTTGTGATCACTCAAGAAAAGTTCTCATTACCAAATTAATCTTTTGAGATTTGTCAGTATGGCACTGACACATAAAGCAAAAACTAATTTTCAGTTCATTGGCTTTTTGGGCTTCATGGCTTTCAAACCTGTGCTTTGATAGACACAGGATATCTGGGTGACTAATTCATTTTCGCTTATACAAATTACGTCCTACTCTGGACTAAATACAATGAAAAAACCCTTCAGTGTTAACTTTATATTAGAAATTGGTTTCTTACTGCGTAATGAGAAAAGGGCCCTGGCACAAAACAAAGGCCTGTTTTGGAGGACCTGAGCCAAGAGGACCCTCCAAGCATCCTTGCATTCAAAGGAGATGCTCTCAGTCAATAAAGAGCTATTCACTGAGCAGGAGTAACAGAGAAAGCCCTCTTTGGGGGAAGACAGCTTCCGTGTGTTTACAGTGCAACCGTGTTGGTCGAGGAACGGCTTTCATTTGGTCTTAGAGTCAGTCTTCCCGCAGTCGATCCTCTCACATTTCCCCAAGGTGGTCAGAGTGACTTTTTATCTCCATTTTTACAGAGGGGGCAAGTGAAAGCAGGTGTCTTGCCCTTCAGTGCTGAGGCAGGACCGCTGGAGGCCAAGACCTTGGGCTTTGTCCAGCTCCACTCTAAGTGAACCTCCCCGCCTGTAGTCTTCCTGGATATCGATTTTCTGCACACATGGGCATCTCCTAATCTCCTGGCTGGTTCATACCAGCCTGGGCCCCTTCCCTGGCAGAGAGGTTGGCGTTTGCTTTGGAGTCAGGAGATGCACGGTGCCCTTGCCGCTCCTGCCCTGGGCTTTCCTCACTGGATAAACAGGGGCCAGCCACTTTGGAGTTTGCCGCTGTATTGCTGCGTCACGATCCCCCTGGGGCCTTCCTCTCTCCAGGAGCAGGGTTTTTCTAGCTCTCCAGATCTTGGAGGTCACCAGCGTGGATTCCAAGCTTGGCAGTCTCCGGGGAAGCCTTTTAAGAACACAGACTGCCAGCTGTGTCACTCGCAACCCCCGCCCCCTCCCCATGTTGAGTCTGGATTGCTAAGGGTAGGGTCCAGAAATCCGTAACTCAAACAAGAACTGCCCTGTTGATTCTCGAGTCTGCCAGATTGGCATTTGGGAGTCATTGAGTGGCAGTGATCTCATCTGAGGGGAGGAAGGGTGGCAGATTGTGACTTAGAGTACAGTACGCCTGCGTGTGGGCCCTGGGATCCCTCACAGGGCGCCTGCTTACCGTCTGATCTGCAGAGCCTTTGCCTGAGCTTCCATTTTCCTTGGTGAAACTCCCCGGTGCCTGGCTTCTGGGACTGCGAATGTGGGGGTGGTGTGGGGAGGGATGGAGTTGCAGGGTGGCAGGTCCCGGGACCCCCCGGTACCCCGGGAAGAGGTGAGCCAGTCTTCCCTCCCTGTCTTACCCTCCCAGCAGCAGCTGCCAGAACAACCTGACAGAGTACACTCGGGCCTCGCGAGAAAGGGGTGCAAACATCCTTTCAGAGGGAGTTGCAAATGTTCTGAGTTGTGACTGAGGTAGAGACACCCATTTATTCTGCTTCAGGTTCAGCAGAACCTCCTGATTTTTTTTTTTTTTTTTGAAGATTGAGATCAGTTTGCTCTTTGAAGATCGATTGCAGGCTCTTGTGCTTCTTAGAAGGATCAGAGCAGCCAGGAAATGAAGGGCCATTCTCTCCTTTGTATTTCCAGAAAGTTGCAAGTTACCAAGAAGCAAATTCCTTTGCCAGGGATGAGCAGTGATTTGTTGAGGGAGGGGTGCCGTGGAGGGAGAGCATGGCGGGACGGGACGCCTTAGAAGTCCAGCTCATCCGAGCCTGCCTTTTCCCCTCTGGGGAACAGTCTGTGTTTGGCTGATGCAAAGACTGAACATAATTTGTCTCCTGTTTGGTCAAGTCGATTTGCCCTTTCTGCGGGTCGAGCCGGTCCACAGCAACTGTGGAGGTGTGTGACGTCAGCCAGGGTCGGGAAGGCTTAGCTGCTTGATGCCGCTGGGGCTGGTTGTGAGTCAGAAAGCTTTGTACCACCCCCAAGGCTTGATTAGGGCTGTTCTCCTTTCTGGAATGACACACGGTGGCCTTATATAAACCACTCTACATGTTTACTCTCTCCTATTGATGGTTTAAAATGATCTGATGTTTATCATCAAAAATAGGAAACCATGCACAAACCAAACCTGCTCTTTCTCCTTCACATTTTTGTTGGCTTAACGTTGCTTGTAAATATTTAAGGCACCTTACAGAGAGAAAGTGGGAGCAGAAGGCAGAGGCCGTGCTTGTTAGGGATCTCTGAGGACCCGCTAGTGCTGAAACCCGAAGAAACCTCTGTCCTGCCTGCTTGGATTTCTCCAGCTGCTCAAGGCTCCCCGTTGCTCCCAAATTAAGTCTGCACCCTGGGGTCCCCTCCTCGGGCAGATGTGGGGGTTAACCTCCACCCCCCCCCCTTGGCACTGTGCAACCTTGTGAGAGATCTGGGGTTATTAAGTCTTTGCATACTTCTGTGAAGATGTCTGGGGGACAGGGGCTTGGCGGCTTTTCAGAAAGCCAGGCCGTTTGCAAAAGCTTAACCAGAGAGTTTCTTTAGGAAGAAATGAACCCGATATTTTTGTGTGTGTCTGTCAACGTATTTATATATGCCAGACACTTGCCGGTGCTTTTACAAACCTTA